CCGGGCAACAGGCCTGCGGCTCCCCGGGGCCCGCAGCGCCGGCGGGCTGTGCCACCGCTGCGGCACGGTGCTTCTCCCGAGTCCGGCACCGCTCTCCCGGGGACGCGGGGGGCGAGCGGGGTTACCTCCTGTCCTGCCAGCGAGGAGCTGGGGGAGGCCAGCACGCCGGGGGCCTCGGCATCTCAACCTGGGAACTCGTCCTGCTGCCCCGGTCTCATCAATCCTACGCTTGCACCTTGCAGGAAAACAGAAAAAAAACCGAAAAGGGCATTTAATGCACCGTCCCTAATCTGCTCTGTGATCACAAGTAACTAACGTGCCTTGACCCCGTGGCACCGTTACAGGACAGTTAAAGTTACATTTGTAAATCCAAGCATACTTGGATTTACCTCTGAATTTCCTATTTGGTTGCAATATTGTATTCCACATACTTTCTTGCCCGTAAAATACTGATATGTTCTCTCAACTTTCATTCCATCCTCCTTTTGTTTCTTTTTGGTCTGGGAATCAGGATGAATGCATATAAGATGGGCCTTTCCTTGGTACCACCTAGGTTACCTGCAAGAATGACCTAGCCTGAAATTGAGGACCACCCAACCAACCAACCTCAGCATGCTCTTCTCAGATCTCAAGAAGAAGGAGTCTGGCCACCATCATCTCCTACCCTCCCTAAGCCATTAAGCTAGCCATCAGGGGACAAGTCGTAATGTGGCACCCTTCTCCGAGTGATCCATGGCTACAACCCAGAACCAGCCCCTGACACACAGGCCAGATGCCCTCAAGGTCACGTCACCACTCATGGCAGCGGCTGAGCATGGCCTCCTTAGCTTTAGGCATATGACCAGATTTCTCCAAGCCATGCAGGCTTGTGGGTTAGAAAGAGGACAGGTATCGTGCAGGAGGTATACAGCGGTTGGTTGTGTGCCTAGAAGGCTGTGTGTGTTTAATTGGGAGTGTCCAGTTTGCCTAATGCTCCGTGATACGTTACGCATGATCAATGGTAGCCAGGTGTGCCACACGGATTTTCATCCTAGGTTAGGAGAATCAGCTCTCGGCGGCATTTGTGTGATGGGAGAGAGCTGATCACCTAAGAGGGAAGAGGATAAATGGCATCTCTCTTTTCTCCTTGGTGTCTGGTCAGAGATGGTCTTTTAAAAAGACTTGCTGATGGTGGGTGATAACAAAAGCAAACACAGACAGCAGTATCCGATACCAAAGCGAACATCATCTGCGCTGCAGGGAGGACAGTATCAGTTACAAGTTAAGGCAGCTGTGATTACAATCAAGCCAATAAATAGACAAGCACCGCTGGAGGAAAAACCACCCATTTTTAACTCCCAGACCGCAGTGCAGTTGCTGCTGTAGCCAGCTAGGCAGTTTCTCTTGGCTGCCAGGCAGCCAGGCTTGCACTGGCCACTGGGGAACTGAACCAACTCTCCTTCTAATGCCCTGGGGGCAATTTACGGACCAGGTATGCTACCCTACAAAGGGCAGCAGTTTGGGAATGATGTGTGGGTGTGTGGTGGTGTCGCCCAAGCATGAAGTCTACTCATCAGACAGTCTACCCTTGGGTGCTGTGTCTGGCATTATCTGTGGGCCAGGACTCAGCTC